GTAATTATGTCCCCACTGGATGCAACAAATGCCTCGTTTGTAATGTGTTTTACTGGTTTTGTCTCGTCTAGTGATGTTCGGATCGCGAACGAATCGTTCTATTTAACCAGATCTTCTTAGTGAACCGGTCGAACCAGTTCACCAAATCCAACTGAATCGTTTAAAAAGGTTTGTGTCTCCAGTACGCACTAATCCACAAATTACTTAAATTATTCGGTTTATAAACGTGCCTGATACTCCCTCTCGAAATAAACCAATATCCCGAGTTATTCAGTTACTCCTAACAGTACATTGACTGAACTGCTAAAAGAGAACCGATGATGGGATGTGCACGAGCAGAGCAGCTGGACTGAGTCTCGTCCTGCCGGGAGACGGCATCACAGTATGTTAAGGGGCGTAACATTTCTGTCACACGCTTTTTAGGACGATAAAAATCTACGCGTTTCAGAAAGGCGGGGCATAGAGGAGAAACAATAATGTACATTATATGGAAAATGTGTTTTTTTAACCTTAAACCGCATAAACACATTGCATTACACCAAATACACAACATAATGTTCTTTTTAGCAACGTCATGTGACCCCTTTAACTTATTTTGGACTGATGCATGCAACACCCGCTGAGTGGCATTAAACAGCTTAAAAGATCAAAGACAATTTTTTATATAACTCCGACTGGATTCGTCTGAAAGAAGAAAGTCATGTACACCTAGGATGACTTGAGGGGGAGTAATTTATGGGCTAATTTTCATTTTTGGGTGAACTAGCCCTTTAAGAGTCAAATGATCTTGAGCTGATTTCCCTCGTGATTTAGACGGTTTGACTATTGGTTAGTTAATGAGTAAATGATGAACGGAGAGAGTGAGTGAACTTACGATACAGCTGTACTCTTCATCATCCATCTCCTTCACCTTCAGACAGTACGACTGAATAAAAACAAACACACATCAATGAACTTCAACATAAACACTCTCAAAATCCCTCTGTTAATGTAACATCTCAATTCAGTAGACAATGATGAGTGAATCTTCTGGCTGCTCTCATACCAAGTACTCAAACTTGACATCCAGGTATTTGCGGATGGTGAGTTTGGTGTCAGGAATTGCTTTGTGCAGATACGTGTTCAGATCATGCAGCATCTGACAGACAAACAGACAGCATTAATATTATTTATTACATTTGTCTCGTGAAATAATGTTTACACAAGGTGTTTTCAACTGTTCCACACCATAAATGATGTTTCCCATGCATGTTTCAGTTACTCTACATTCTACATACTAAACACTGTAGAGATCAGGGATTTATGGACGTTCTCATCAGCCAAACCCCTTTGAGCTAAAATAATTATTTTTAAGTGCCCCTGAGATTTTAAGTTAATATCTTAAGTTAAACATATAATTTAACAACAAATTTGTATGTCCACGGCTCTCTGACAACAGTTAATGGCCACATACAGTTAAACATAACATTTTTAGTAAATGTTTTTTTTTTTTTTTTACTTATTGTAATGCTTTTATGTAGGTTACTTTTAGTTGTTTCACATCATAGTAGTGCTGTCAAACGATTAATTGCGATTAATCCCTAAATCGCTTTTAAAATAAAAGTTTTTGTTTACTTAATATATGTATGTGTACTGTGTATATTTATCATGTATATATAAATACAAACACACACACACACAGTATATATTATTTTGAAAATATTTACATGCAAACATTTATAATATAATTTTTATTATATATAAATATATTTAATGTATAAACAACATATTTTTCTTAAATATGTACATGCGTTTGTATATATATACATAATAAATATACACAGTACAGACACATTACACAAACAAAAATATTTATTTTAGATGCGATTAATCGTTTGACAGCACAACATCATACATTTTATTTCTGCATGTCACAGTTACTCTACACACATCTATATTAATCTCATTGTAAGAATACAAACTCGTTCAGATCTGCTCTCTTACGGGTTTGATGGTCTTCAGCAGCTGGATGCCGAACTTCTCCATGTTTCGATGAGCTTCAGCAAACTTCACGAAGGCTTCGCTGGCGGCGGCCTGTGGCTCACGGACACCGATGACGGAAAACACGTCACCAAACGCTGAGAGAGAAAAACATTTTATCACACATCTGATGATTTTATGGAGTGTTTTGTTGGTCAGATTTAGCATTACTTCCACTACACGGCCTGATGTTGTTAGTGTGTGTAACTAGACACACATTTTGAGAATCTCATCTCAAAGGGGATGTTTTACCAGTCTATTCTGAAAACAAACCAGTTTTTGGTCAATAAAATTAACTTTCAGCAGGAGAAACTCTTTATAGCAGCCTATAACGAATCATATGATGAATAAAGATGAACAAATCTACTGTACCTCTGTGAGTCTGCGAGAGCTCATAGAAAGCTCTTAACAGTCTCTTCGTGTGCTCCATCAGTCCTAAACACACACACAAACACAGATTATTTCCAGAGTAAACTCTCTCAGGCACTGGTTTAATGCAGTAACAGTACGAATGAATCACCTTTATAAAGTTCAGCGGTTTTCTCCAGCTCCTCCAGCCTCTTCACCAGACCATCTACAACACCCAAACACACACATGCTTGATTTCTCATGGCACACATTATATCCGCACATCAATGATGGCGTTTCCAAGCAAAGATTATGTCATGCAACAGAACTTGTTCTCATTAGTGCAAGGTGAAAAAATAATTCATAATTTACATAGTGATGTATTTAGGAGTACTGTAGTTGTTTAATATGTGCAGAAACAAGTGTTGTATTGGATTAGTGATTAAATAGTGGAACTGATCTGACCGTTGCACAGAATGGCTCTGCTGAGTCCCAGAGCGTCTGCGGTTCCTGAACTCAAGTTCTCCACCAGACGATGCTTCACCTTCTTCAGCACTGACACACACAAACACACACACATGAGCTACTTCATCAGAGAGAAACACACTTCTGCATCCCTTCAAACACACAAAGCTAGCACAGTTTGGTAGTTTTTACCGATATCCAGAGATTTGCCCTGCTTCGGGTCGGCCTGCAGTTTGTTATACTGGATCACGACTTCACCCTGCAGATCACAAACACATTCATCCATAAAAACAAACCCTTCAAGTACAAAACAATTACCAGTCTAGATCATGTGATCTTTACACAAACGGTCTTTATCATAATGGTGCATCTGAGACAAGATATTATTCACTTTGATGATATATTTCGGCCACAATATTATTTCAAAGTCATGTTGATATACAGATAATGTCGCTCTTGTGATGTTTGACTTCAGTTCAGACTGTTGTATGAAATTATTCATATTATATGTATACCCTACATTTAACACTGTAAAGGAAAGTATAAATTCACTAAATTAACATGCAATATGTTTTACGTGCCAAAAACACAAAGGATACACAAATGTAATACTTAACAATACTCTTAAGCATTATACTTTGATCTTTCCTTTTCAATCAAGTTGACAAAATTGCAGCTTTAAGTGAATCAAAATGCACAAATTATAACAGTCTCAACTACATCTCGACAAAATCTGTAGAAATTTCCAAAGATAGAATGATTGAACTGATATTGAGTGATTACTTAAAGATGTAACACGGTCATGTGGCAATAATCACTTAAAATCATGTCAAATAAGAGCAGAGTTGTGTGATTGTTGTATATTGTTGTTTATACCGTCTGATATAAACTATTCTATCATCCAGCTCTAACCTGCTCAATGTGACTATAAAGACATCAGAAACATTAAAGGGGTTCTATTATGCTCTTTTACAAAGTCTTGATTTTGTTTTGGGGGTGTACTAGAACAGGCTCTCATACTAGGTTGTTCGAAAAACACATTACTTTGCACATATTTGACATTATTACAACACCTCTCTCCCCAGTCTGGCATGAACGGCTCGAATAGTTCCTGTATCAAATGAAGGCCCGCCTTCTGAAATACGAAATGTGCTGTGATTGGTTAGCTGGGCCAGTGTGTGCTGTGATTGGTTAGCTGGGCCAGTGTGTGCTGTGATTGGTTAGCTGGGCCAGTGTGTGCTGTGATTGGTTAGCTGGGCCAGTGTGTGCTGTGATTGGTTAGCTGGGCCAGTGTGTGCTGTGATTGGTTAGCTGGGTCAGTGTGTGTTGTGATTGGCTCCACTTGGTGCCTGGTCGGGAAATGTCATGCCCCTTACCATAGCCGCGTGCGAGCTTAAGCGTAAATATTGCTCAATATCAAATCATTGTGGGCGCGATTTAAACCCAGATGATTGTAACCACTCTAAGTCTGTCTGCCTTGGGAAAGCTAGCGTGTCTCAGATATAGTGATAACACTCGTAGCCTTCTCTAGTGCAGCTCAACCAGGTCTCGTCCCATTCGTCGATATTTGTGTTATGAAAAATCCCGGAAAATATGCGTTGTAGTCCAAACGAGTCATTGGTTGTAGTTTTTGAAAAGTGATTTCTGTTAAATAAAGGGGTCATATGATGCGATTTCAAGTTTTCCTTTCTCTTTGGAGTGTTACAAGCTCTTGGTGCATAAAGAAGATCTGTAAAATTGCAAAGACTAAAGTCTCAAATCCAAAGAGATATTCTTTATGAAAGTTAAGAGTCAGCCACGCCTACCTAAAATGGCTCGTTCTAACATGCCCCCACATGTCTACATCACTATGTGGGGAGATTTGCATAACGCCACCCAAATGTTCACACAAAGAAAGAAGGCATAACTTTTATTCTCGCTGTAGTATTGTTGTTGCTGCCGCTGACATGTCGTGAAGGCGCGATGTGTGTTTCGTTGTGAAAGCGAAACTACTACTTTGGTTGGTCTTCCAAAAGAGGACGATATCACTTCGTCATGCCTGGAGCTGTGGGATCAGCTTTCACTGTGGACGAAGCGGAGTCCAGCCCGGGGTCGTCACATGTGGTTGCCGCAAGCCCGCCGGCTGCTCCTTTGTCGAATCCGCTGGCCGCGCCGTTCTCAAACCCTCCGGCCGTTCCTCACTCTAGCCGCCGGCCTCAGTTCACTCTAGACCACCGTAACTTTGCAGATCTTTTTTATGCTCAAACAGCAACATTACAGACTAACTAAAGTTGAAAAAGCATATTATGACCCCTTTAACATGACAAAACTCTGAATCAGTGAAAATTGCTCTAGGAATAAAACTGCCGTGACTTGAGTTGATGTTTTAAGTGTTGTACCTGCACTGCCTGGATCATCTTGGCCACCTCTACTTTAGTCTTTCCTTTCACCGGTTTGCCGTTGACTCCTGTGATCTCATCGCCGGCGGCCAGAGTCCCGTCCAGAGCGGCCGGAGTGTTATCAAACACCTAAACACACAAAAATCACCTCAAATGAGCTTCAATGAATAAAAAGAGTAATGGAAAGAGTACTTCATGACAGATTGAAGCCTTTCCGGAGCACTTTAACATGGAAACTGGACGCTGGGTATCATTCACAAAATATGCACACGCCAAATTTGTGCGAAATCTGTTGAAAAAACATGTTCAACATTCGCAATTCTTCAGGAACTTTTCGTTCTGAAGTGCACTCAATGCATGTAACAATATAAACCACACACACACAAAAAAAAAATAAAAAAAATCACACACTTCGTTCTGGCCTTCTAAACACAATACGATTCTATAGCTTCTAAAACACACAATCATTATGGAATGCGACACAGTGATTGATAGGATGATGTTAGATTGTGAATATTTGACCTGTACGATGTAAAGACAGGGACAGAACTGAGCTCCGCCCCCAATACTGATCCCAATCAGGTTCTGGGAGTCTTTCTTCAGAGTCACTGTTCCAGGAACTGTGGGAATCCCACTGGACACAGACACAACACAACATCCCACACATGACTGTCAGGCGAATGCACACAATACTCATCTCATCACACAATGATCCCTCAATGTTCTGCTTGAAAAGATTGCTTCTTTTGCTTTCTGTTAGATTCTATTGCAATTACATGCTATTTTATAACATTTATAAGCCCCAATACTGATCCCAATCAGGTTCTGGGAGTCTTTCTTCAGAGTCACTGTTCCAGGAACTGTGGGAATCCCACTGGACACAGACACAACACAACATCCCACACATGACTGTCAGGCGAATGCACACAATACTCATCTCATCACACAATGATCCCTCAATGTTCTGCTTGAAAAGATTGCTTCTTTTGCTTTCTTTCTGTTAGATTCTATTGCAATTACATGCTATTTTATAACATTTATAAGCGTGACTTCACACAGACAGAGGTCTATTTTCTCCCCACAGGATGTGACATCATGTAAACATATGAATATGAACGTACTGCTTGCTTGTTATTGATGGATGATGCTCGTGATACTCACAGTTTGTCCTCCTCCAGCTCATAGTCCATGTCTGTGAACATTACCAGCTCTGATCGTGTTTAATGTGGATCTGTTGATCAAACGCCCTTCATTCATTCAGATGGTGAACTTTATTACTGAAATACAGCAGCATTAATGAAAACAACTTTAAATAACCTGTACTAACATCATACTCTGAGACATATTCACTTTTAAAGCAGCTCGTTATTGTTATTATTAGTATGCTTTAGCGGCAGGTGTTATGCAGATGGATAACGCAGGTGTGTCTCTTACCGTTCTGTTGACGAATAGCTGAAGTGTAAAGATGCTCTTAACACGCGAACATATTAAAATAATGTTTTAGTGTTGTGTTACGAAGATAATTCGATAAACATTAAGCTGCTGCATCTGAACAGCAGTCTTCTTCTTCTTCTTCTTCTTCTTCTTAATGTTTAACGGCGGTTGGCATCCAGCGTATTTGGTGCATTACCGCCACCATCTGCTCCGGAGTGTGGATCAGACTGAACAGCAGTCTGCAGGATGTGTGTGTTTTCTTTTTCTGTGACAGGAAAACCAAGGTAAAAAGCGCGTTTCCGCCTCCTGCTGGACTGGAGGTAGAGGCAGAGACTCTCTTTTGAGAAAAAAATGACTTTAAAGTTTTTTATTTGTCCTGCCAGATTAATTATAGGGCACTGGAAATTTGGCAATTGTATGAAAGTAATGAAAATGATCTACATTAAAAAATGGTGAGCTCAAACTTGATTGAAAAGAAAAAAGATCACTTTCACCAGTAGATGGCTGCAGAGCTCCACTATTCGCTATTGCCATTTGACATGCTTTTTGACTAATTGAAAGACATCGTTCCATAGGTTTTTCCAGTTGGATTTATAGCTATGAAATCATAATTGTAACAATAAAAATAACGTTTTGTCCAAGTTTAGCAGGGTTACTATTATTATTTTTTTGGTACTGAAGTTAGTTTTGTACTGTGCTAAATTGTCTCATCCTTTCATTATTTTGAACTGTGGATGTTTTTAAGTGTTATTTCTGTCTATGTTTGTTCTGTTTGAGTTTGGTTTTGAGGACCAGTTTTATTCATTTTCGAAGCGGGATCTTAAAACCAGATGTCATTCCTATGTATTTATGTATGTTTTTATTGATAAAGTGTTGACAGTCACATGAAAAGCAAACATCATTTGGTGTCCAAAAGACCCCAAATAGCTTATAAGGGTTAACTGATTTCACAAAAACACAATACAGCAAACATTGTACTGAACACATGCAAAATACAATTGTTATAATCTTTTGTCAGTTTTTGGTATTCATTATTGTTGTGTTATTTTCAATAAATACGTTTCAGTAAATTGATAATGGAACTCCTCAAATTTTTTGTAAGTGAATTACTTTTACTGATAGGTCAGCATATGTTCTGCTTCTCCCTCCTCCCGGGAATCAGGGACATACGTGCACAGACATTTTGAGGGCTCAAGTGGAAAAAAAGAGCACTTCTCATATTTATTCTAATTTTTATTTCTAATCAAAACATTAAATATATTAGAGGTGTGCGATATTGACAAAAAATATAGCTCAATATTCTCTGAGATTTTAACGATAACGATAATTAGGTGATATTTTGTTGAGTGTGTTATTGTCACGGGGCGGTAAGATAGCAACGTAGAAAAAACAGGGCCCGAGTCCAAATGCAGGAGAAACTAGACTTAATCAACAAAACGAAAAACAAAAAATAGATCAGAATTGATCTCCAAAACAGGATCAGGAATGGGATACAATTACGGCAACAGAAAGTGTTCGCATACACAACCTACGAACAAGAAATACAACTACCTTTACAATACAATTCAGCCAGGCAGAGTAGTGGGAGTGTGGTGTATAAATAGTCCATGACAATGAGAAACAGCTGAGGGTGTAATAAGTGACAGGTGTGTGGAGTTTGGGGAATGGAGTCCGGGAGGACGGGAGATGGTGACCTCTGGTGGTGAGAGGGAGAAATGTAGGGCCCAGACTCTGTTATTACAGAGACAGTATTTTGTCAGAATCAGAATCAGAATGAGCTTTATTGCCTGGTATGTTTACACATACGAGGAATTTGTTTTCGTGACTGAAGCTTCCACAGTGCAACAGAATGACAGTGACAGAACAAACAAACACAGATAAAAAAAAAAAAAAAAAAAATAGAACAAGTAAATAAGGAATGCAATATACAAATTGACAGTTGTATGTACAGGTATATCTGGCCGTTCTGGTGCTCAGAGCTCTGTAGCGTCGACCAGATGGCAACAGTTCAAAGAGGGAGTGTGCTGGATGTGAGGGGTCCAGAGTGATTTTGCCAGCCCTTTTGCTCACTCTGGATGAGTACAGTTCTTGGAGAGAAGGGAGGGTTGTACCAATGATTCGCTCAGCAGTCCGGACTACCCTCTGTAGTCTTCTGAGGTCAGATTTGGTAGCTGAGCTGAACCAGACAGTTACTGAAGTGCAGAGGACAGATTCAGTGATGGCGGAGTAGAACTGTTTCAGCAGCTCCTGTGACAGGTTGAACTTTCTCAGCTGGCGAAGGAAGTACAACCTCTGCTGGGCCTTTTTAACAGTGGAGTCAATGTGAGTGTCCCACTTTAGGTCCTGAGAGATTGTGCTGTTCAGGATGGTGAGTGGGGAGAGAGCAGGGGGTTTTCTCCTGAAGTCCACTATCATCTTCACAGTTTTGAGCGTGTTCAGCTCCAGGTTGTTATTTGCTCACTCTGGATGAGTACAGTTCTTGGAGAGAAGGGAGGGTTGTACCAATGATTCGCTCAGCAGTCCGGACTACCCTCTGTAGTCTTCTGAGGTCAGATTTGGTAGCTGAGCTGAACCAGACAGTTACTGAAGTGCAGAGGACAGATTCAGTGATGGCGGAGTAGAACTGTTTCAGCAGCTCCTGTGACAGGTTGAACTTTCTCAGCTGGCGAAGGAAGTACAACCTCTGCTGGGCCTTTTTAACAGTGGAGTCAATGTGAGTGTCCCACTTTAGGTCCTGAGAGATTGTGCTGTTCAGGATGGTGAGTGGGGAGAGAGCAGGGGGTTTTCTCCTGAAGTCCACTATCATCTTCACAGTTTTGAGTGTGTTAAGCTCCAGGTTGTTAAGACTGCACCAGACAGCCAGCTCTTTAACCTCCTGTCTGTGCTGATATCTTAAAGGTCCCATATTGTCAAAACTGAAATTTCTTGGCTTTTTTCATGATAACTGAGGTCTAGGGGCTATTTAACTACCATATAAGTTTCAAAACAGTCAGTCCACAGTAAAATGCACACAGCCTGAATAAAGTAGCTGTGATTTTTTTTTGCTTCCGTAAAAAGTTGACGTCAGAACTACAGTCACTGCCTTCAGTCACCACCCCGAGCACCGCCCACAGTCCCACTCTCCTTTTGCCAAACCCCCAGACAACATCGCGTCCATGCCATTGCTGAGCAATGACAACACGAAAACATGTCCAAAAAAGGTTAACTTTAACCACGAAACCAGATCGGCCGTCCAGTAACGTTAAACTCTCACTCAAAGGATGGACGATCTGACAGGATTGTTACTATGAGGTGGATCACATCTAACGTGTATAGAAAAGACAAACTCACCGTGTCTATCTAGTCATGATGAAGATGGATATATATTTCAATTTCAGCAGGCAACTATTTTTACAGCTACATTATTGTTCCAGCCATAATTAATCACAACAATGTATATACAATTACAAATGATTATATATAAATCGTCAGTTTGTTGTTTTACACACATTTAGAAAAAGTTGTGTCTGCTCAATCGTGTTCCTTCCTGCAAAAAAATTATCTCTATGAAGAATTTCAGGCCTGAAAGAATTCCAGGGGTTTCAGGCCCCACCATAGCACAGAAACTGCACTTGTTAAAATTACAAATGACTTGCTTCTTGCGTCAGACCAAGGCTGTATCTCATTGCTAGTTTTACTTGATCTTAGTGCTGCGTTCGACACTATAGATCATGACATACTCATAGATCGATTACAAAACTATACAGGTATTCAAGGGCAGGCTTTAAGATGGTTTAGATCCTACCTGTCCGATCGCTACCACCTTGTTCATTTAAATGGGGAGTCATCTCAATT